GGACGGCGGAGTTTGGACCTTTGGCCTGGAAGCCTTTGTAGAGCTCCCAGATCTCAGGCCACTTCTGAGCGTTCATGCCCGTGATGGTGGAGCTGTACGAGGGCTTGCGACCACCGCGAGTACAAAAGCCGATGTTGGCATCATTCCAGTGGTCGTACGTAGTAATAGCGCTGGACTCAGAAATGGGGCCGATGTTGTAAAAAGGGGCGAAGGCTTCGCGGCCTGTTTCGTTCGTGCCTTTACGAAGTAAGCCAGTGACGAGGATAGAAGGCTCGTTGAGTGGCTCCCCACTAGATGTCAGTACAAGATATACTCGCTGTTGGGGCGTAAGAGGGAGGTCTTCAACCGCTTGCGCAACCTGCTCGAGCTTGTCGGGGGAAAAGAAAAGGTTGTTGATGTATGCTGTGCGATCCTCTTTAGTGGCGGGCGTTGCCTTGACGGTTGCTGAAACGACGATTCCGAAATTGGGTCCTGCCCCCCGAAGTGCCCAGAACAGTTCCGGATGCGACGTGGCTGATGCGGTAAGTATTTCGCCTGATGCAACGACCACTCGCATGGAGATGATGTTGTCGACTCCGAATCCGACCTCGCCCATGAGATTGCCATAGCCGCCACCGAGCATCGCACCTAGAGCGCCAACGCAGTTACAGTTTCCGGTGATGATCAATGCACCTGCAGTATTCGCTGCTGCAATCGTGTCTCCGATGCTTGCACCGCCACCGATAGTGGCGGTCTTCTTGTCTGCAGCGACAGCGACTTTGTTGAGATTGGCAAGGTCGATCAGGACACCCCATTTCCCCAACTTGAAAGTCTTTCCCCATCCGATGCCGCCATTCTGTGCAAGGAACGGTATCCCAGTTTTCGTACAGTATTTGACCTTTTCGTTGGATTAGCATCGACGATCCGTTGTACCGGCAATTTGGTTGAGGCTGAACCTACTATCTTTGCTACATCCTTGTCATTTTGCACGCGGACGACCACAGATGGAAGAGGGGCGTTGTAATCACTCCAACGCGCTCGAATTTCGACGTTGACCGAAGATGGCGACGACACCAAAGTCTCCAGATCCTTGGCGACATCAGTCTGTCGTACAGCAAGTGCAGAGACCGCCGCGGCAAAAGAAACCAGTAATGATAAGACCCTCATGTTGACAGTACCAAGCAAATGGGCAACGGCCCAACGTGCTTTTTAATTGACATCAAACTTTCTCGGCTACCTGCATGGTGGCATAGAATGCCCGGACCACAAGTCGTCAGGGCGAGGGATTTGTCGTCCCGGTGGAAACTCTAGTCGACAAACAGGATGCAGCCAGCGTCCATGCATGCTAAATCCGCGCTTGGTTAGGTATAGTCACCGACGCGGTTATCTGCCGTACTCGTTCGCAATCGACCCGGTTACCGCGGGCGCAGCCGCATTCGGTTATATGTCCTCCGACGGCCCCGGACCCGTGCGTTAGCCTAAAGCGCACCAGCGCAATGTCTCCACACATAACTTTCCCAAGAGTTCAGCGAGCCATGTTGAGAGCATGACGTGGGCCTTGTTCCTTTTAGGCGGTTCCATCCTTGCGCACGTGGGTTGGATTCCAGGTAGCATTGAACCACCATCGAAAGATTCGGAAGGTGACAGCGCTGCAGGAACAGGGTGTCTGTGAAGTGCTGTCGGTGGTATGCAAGATATATTTCGCCGATGAACTTGGCACTCGGCAGTATCTTGCGAGAAGGATGCCAATCCAATCAAAAAATAATGCATATGCTACGCCAATAGCCTGGAGACCTTGAGCAACCAGATCCGAGACATATACCGAGCGGAGTATTGTAGGATTCGCGGTTCAATATGCTAACACCGGCGCTTCTTGTTTGCACCGAGGTAGACGCCCACACATTCATCCCAACGTCTGGTGAATCGTGATTTCCTTCGTGATACCGCGCTTGCCTAGCGTCGAGGCGTCTTCGGGAGGCGTAGAAGGAGCTTCAGAGCGCGCCGTCAGCTCTGCATAGCATTAGTGGAGCGCTTTACGGGACGTCATGCATTACGTACCGATCTCGTCAATCTCCTGGTATGGCTTGCGTACCAACTTGCCGCCAAACGTAGTACTTTTCGTGGTGCCGTTCAGCGCGGATGAGCCAAAGCCGTGACCTGATGATCCGTATCCGTAGCTCGAACCGGTTTGTGTTGCTTCGCGAGGATAGAAGTAAAACCAAATGGGCCGGAGCGTGGGCAAACAGGCGCAAACAACACCCAAAGATAGTTCAATGTTGGTCCAAAAGAACACCGGTGCTGTGTAATAAATGACGTCGTCGGGATGCTTCAGGTATTCGCCGGCGATCGAGTAAGTCGCCACAACCCGTGTGATGCTGACAGCACATACTCTGTACGACTCAATTGTCTTGAACACATTGACGTACGAGACGGAATAAGACTTACGCAGCTCCAAGTGAAAGCATTACGATCACGGCTAGCTTCTTCTTGGCCTCCATTCTGACACTCAAAACCATCGGGATAGGAAGAATAAGGATGACAATGTCTGCGAAGACACCCGTGTACTGGTAACATGGTTAGCTTGGAATCGAAATCATTATGCTAAGTGAGAGACAGTAGCTTACAAGCAGGGCCAAGAACATCGGCACGGTTTCGACACAGCTATTCCCATAGTACGGTTCAATAAATACCGTTATGGGGTAACAAGTGAATAGATGCGAGAATGTGAAGCTGACGGTCCAGCATACGACATACGCAAGCACGCAGTATACCACGATGCGAAACTTTCGTACGTCAAAGATGTTCTTGTATAGCACCAAAATCGACGATTTGACAAGACCTAGTCCAATAATAGAGATCATGTTCAAAGCAAACTTCGTCTAGAGAAGTCAGCAATTGCACTGCTATCAGCAGCTGGGTGTACTTACCTGCTCAAAGAATATCAATCCGGGATCGTCCATAATGGGCTGGCCTTTTTCATCCAGTGGTTGATGAGACCCCAAGTAGCCATGTATCGCAGCTATCAATCGGCGTAAGTTTGCAATCTGCCTTCCAATCGAATCACTTACTAGCTAACTGTAACGAGCAGCAAGCCATAGACACAGCCTATCAGCGCTCAGTCAGAGGACGCAATACACACGGAACCGCTCAAAGTTCTCTTACCAAAGCAGCAACTGTGAGGAAGTCGTCCCAACCCACACGCTTAGCGATCCTTTTTGCCCATAAACGCAAACAAACGAAGACGAATGGCAGTACCATGAAAGCCACGGCCAGGGCGACCATCATACTTTTGGAGTAGTTGTGATACATTTTGACTGTCGCTCCAGAGTACTGTTGGTACAAAAGACTTGTAAATAGCCGGACGGTCAACAAATACTTCGCAATGATGCAGACAGGCAAAATATAGACTGCACCAAGCAAAATCGAGCTTCAGGTCCTCTCTTCTCATTTGGCCGACATATCGACAGCGTACCACATCCTAGGGACCCCATGGCTTGCTCGTCACATGTAACCTGCGACCCAACCATAACCATCCTTTGAGCTTGGCAGGTCTCCAGTAAACGCCCTGTAGGTATCACAGCACCGAGGGTGCCACGCTTGGTCTGTCCCGAGACTGACCAGGATGAACTAAGGCTGAGAGATTGCAATCACACATCTCTTGACTCTGAAAATCACCCGAAAGTCCCCAGGACTATGACAACCTAGTGCTATAAGCATTTTCGCACGGGTCGTGCCAGTGTAGCTTTTGGCCTGCAGGTCGGTGCGTCCCAATACGTCAATCTGGGATATGCGGTGCTCACAGCTTCAGCTGAGATTTGTGCTCCTGGCATGCCACCATGTTGAAGACAATCTCACACACGAATGATGCCCAGCTATCAACTCCAAGGCCGTTCGAAGTGTCTAGCTATCCCAGTAGTAGACCGGTAAACCGGCAAACCTGTATTGTTGTTCTCATGAAGCCGAGAGCCGTGGGGGTGTAGCTGGGGTGTTCCAGACAGGGGTTCGCCGCTCGGGTGAACCTTTCAGGACGGCAGAAGCCGCACTGCTAAGCCACGGGACGTGCAATGACCCGCTATCATAAGACAGCCTCGGCCAGAACCCATGCGGACTAAAGCTGCGCTGATTTCTCATCTTTCGGTCGATGCGACGTTCTACAGACGCCAGCAGTAAAGAGGTTGTAGGTCCTGGAGGCTCTTACGGCTTCGTCGTCTCAGAATAGGCATCTCGCTGCATCGCGTGCACGAAACTGCTTCTGCGGCTTCGAGTCGTCGATGTGGACGGAGGCTTACTTCCGATAGTCGTGCATGCGAGTCTTATCACGTAGGATTTGGTCCAAAATCACTGACACCGAGGTGTGGCCGCAGTATAAACTGGCCTACAAGGATGAAATATTAAATGGTACCGTCTTCGACAACATGCGTGAAGGTCCTAGTGCGGAACGGGACTGATACTGAGTTTGACGTCGGCAGGCTTGTTGAATGACCGGAACGATATCTCTGCCGTGTTTGGTCAACTTCCCGTGCGCCTGTCGTGGCCCATTGACGCGTTCTGAGAAGTCAGCTCAGCCAGTCCTAGGATGATCGCACGGCGTCTGCGTGCTCGACATGTTGTACCATCTCTCAAACGGCACTAATTTTGGCGTAGGAAGCGATGGTGACACCTCGTTGCTTCTTCGTGATCAATGGTGTATGACGCGTACTGAGGAACGGTGGAAATGTATGCGTCACCCGGTTGGCCCCAGCATCGTCGCTGACAATGTGTTTCATACATGGCTCACAAAACCGTGTGGTTCCTGAAACTGGTAGCGGTAAGCCATCCATTTGGGTATGGAGGAGTTGCTGAGGCTCGCAGTCTTTTGGGAGTTCTTAGGCCATACGGCCCAAACAAGGTGATTTAGCGTGGGCATTACGTCATTATAATCAATCCACGATAATGCCACCTAACACGACTTCCATTTGCAGACGGTTCTCAGTGCACATGCAAATCGCTCTAAATCGTACATTATCCTTTTGTCCTGACGCTCAAGCCCACGAAAAGTGTTCCATGTGCAGATACACATCCCGTTTCCCATCCTTCATGCCACCGATCTGCGCACGAGCAACAGCGTTCGACACATCGCTCTGCATACTCAACGGGCCGCATACCAGTACAGACGTACTTTCAGTTCCGTACTCTGCTGCGTCGGCGATGATGGCTCGAAGGTCCGGTCGTTGCGATACATGCTTCGGGGTGAGCGCAGTCTGGATGGTGTCTGATGCGGCTTCCCCTGAGCGACGTACATCTGTCGACAACGCTTTCATCCCTGAGCCAACACTCTCATCCGAAACTTGTGACTTTTCTTCTAGTTTTCTCGGGCTTTTCATGCCACCATTGTGCTCCTCCTCACCGGTGTAGTAGATGTCCACGCTCAATTCGTCACAGCGACATCCGCTCAGCTTGTTCGCTACTAGCTCCACGACGGCCTGCTCGAACCAATTCCTGGTCAGCGAATCTCTTGTCGCTAGTATCACTTTCATCGCAGATTTTCTGTTGACATCTTCGTCGCCGTCGCGGTGCGGGTCTGTTGCGCTCACTGCAGCCTGGTGCTCACCCTGCCGCAGGAACGCTTCAATTAGCGGCAAAAGCCAGCCAGCACCAGATCCACCAGCAACAGCCACAGTATTTTGGCTTGCGGCAACTCTCCTCATGTCTATGCCGCTATAAGGGCCATCGAGTAACACCTTTAGGCTTGTCTTAGGATGTTGCTGAGCGTGCCTCGCCAAGCGTGCTGTAAAACCTCCCTGCGGTCGAATATAGAAGACGAGTTCGTTCGTGAGAGAGCGAGTCGCTCCTGGAAGAGAGCACGCCGTAAAGGGATGTGTTGTCATCCCATGTACACCTAGGCCAAAGACTCTGATAAAGTAGTGTTGACCCGCTTTCCAGCTGCCGTTCATCGGGATTGAAATCTTGACGAAGTCGTTCGACACCATGCCGACGGCAGCCGTTCTGATGCCGTTCTGGAAAAAGATGCGCATGTGGCTATGAAGCCAACACAATGTATAGATGACACCTGTTGCGATGAAATAATCCCACGACGACAGCCGAAAGTCGCAGTGAAGAAAGAAGAACAAGACGAACACTAGGGCCGCGATGAAATGAGTTGCTTTGAAGAACTCATAGCTGACATTTCGAAGGTAGGAGTTGGAAGCGAATGTCAGCCAGGCCTGGACGCTCATCAGCTTTCCTCTGGGCATAGTCTAGATCCCACACGGGAGGGAGACGGATTTGATCACGAACCTGCGCAATGAGAGCGATGACACCGGTCCAATAGCATACGTCCGTATGCCACTCGCTCTCCATAGTGCCTTTCCATACATTGAACACAATGAAGGGGAATGTATGTATCAAAGCAAGGACAAAGCATGCATAGCTGATCCATCGATGGAACAACTGCAGCTTCTCATGCGATACTCCCGTCAACAGTGTAATCATGTTACTTTTCGTCGACGTCGCCATGATAAAGGGTAGGCAAGCGAGCGACATCCATCCTGTTCTTGTAGCGATCGGCGGTGAGCCTCCGAATGAGATCGGAGGGCTCTTCTGGTTGGGCCAATAGTACGGTCGCGGACCGAGTGTCATACAGACGAAGAAGACTGTGCCTATTGCCCCAAGTATGAGAATGCCGAGTGGTGCGGAGTTCCAGTTCAAAGGCCGGATGCGATATGAACGGTAGGCGAGGTAGCGAAAGATGGCAAGCAGTTGTCGCACAGCCTTGATCTTTGGGGGAGGTTTTCGTACGAGCTTCGAGGTGAGAAAAGGGATGGCAAAGAGAACGATGGTCGCCATGAAGAATGCGAGTGTTGGAAGCGCATACCTGTGGTCGGCTTCGTACCAAAATCTCCAGTACCCTTGCTGCCACTTACAAAGCGTGTCGCTTTTGAGACTGCAGGTGTACTTTCGAGAGGAATGCAGCATAACAGGTTGCGTAAGCCATGGCGTACCCTCACTGTGCATAGAATGCATCGACATAATGGTCCAAATTTCGCGTTGTTCGTTCGTGAAGTGGTAGCTTGGTCAAGTCTCCAAGGTCGCCAGTCCGACAGCCGGTCAAGGGTAGCAAGGTTTATTACTTCAAGGACACAATGTGAGACCGATTGCTTTCATTACCTGCTATACTCATGACCCACATCTTTATATGTTATATAGAAGTCAGAACGCTGCAGTGGGGCCTATGAGAAGTCAGAACAGTGCACTTCCGGGTGCTCAATCGCAGATACTTGCTCATATTGCGGTATGCCACAGCAAACTTATCACCTATGAACGTGTTTCCGGGAGCGGAAATAAGAGATGCAGCTCGTGGCTGACTCCCGAGGCGCACCGCCGTTGTTGTTGCCCGGTTAAAGGAAGGGTTGACACACGCTACTCGTATGACTGAGCAAGTTTGCGGTCGTTGTGATTGGCGAAATTGTCCAGCGCATATGAGGTGACGGGATGCTGGTAATTATGCCGCTCAGGATACGTGATGAGTTTTCAACTTCGCAAACGGTTCATTGTTTGTTTTAGTTAGACGCGCGACTCCTGTGCACCTTGAGAGTGGTGACACAAAGCTTCGCGTTAAATGTCTACATGCGGGCTGTGAATAGGAGTGGCACGAGGTGCATCAAAGCCGCTACACCTCTTCAAGCTTTTGTAACACTTCCCAACTTTTCCATGAATGCCGCTTCTATAGGGGCTAGTTGAGAGCGCGTCGCAGTCATGCTCGCCATGAGGTAGATGACATTACCCAGTATGCGCGAATGAATTTGTACCTGTGATTCAGAAACATCGTGGAGTAAAGCATCGCGAAGGCCGACCGCTGCAGAAGAAGTGTAGCCTAGGTCACGTTAATGAAGAAGCTTGGAGGAGAAAAGATCGACATACCGGAGCCGGCTTCGTCAATGAGCGATACGGCCAGCACTGAACCCAGCGCGTTCACATACTCAACCCTCTCATGATTTGAGACGCTTGCCACGAAGGAGTCGGACCACATACTCCACACACGATTGCCGTTATCATGGCTTACCACCTTGTCCTCGTTCTCGGCCAAGCTCCGCTCATGGCCCAAGTTCAATTTCTCCATGATGTCTAGACTTGTGTTTGCAACGTGGCACCCGACTGCATGAGCGGTATAGCTGTGTCCATGCAGGAGAGCTTCCGATTTCTCGTCGCCCAAGAAAGCCTCGAAGATGGATTGGCTGGCGCTGGTAATCGAAAGCGGAAGCAAACCTCCCGTAAGCAACTTCGCATTCACGCTTATGTCCGGGTGGATATCAAGGAATGAGGCCGCAGAGAAGCGGCCCAGACGGTACAAACCAGTGAACACCTCATCAAACATGACAGGAAGACCAGACCAAGCATTCTCCTCCTTCGGAGATTCCGTAACCTTGGAGCCGTTTGCAAAGTCATAATGACGGACGACGCGCACTAAGCTTTGCTGGAAAAGCGGGTCCACGAATAGCATACCTCCGGCTCCGAGGACGACAGGCTCTAGTACCAAGGTACCGAACTTCTTGCCTTGCTTCTTGACCAGCTCGTCTAGTGTTTTCTCTATGTAGGCCTCGTACTGCGCCGATCTACCTCTGGTAGCGAAATCGAATATCCCGTCTTGACTCTCAAAGTTCTGAGCTGGACCCAATTCTTCTTCCATGCCCTTAGGCGGTTCGACTACCCATTGGCCATTCTTGAGCTTGAAGGTCGGGTAGTCAAACCAGAATCCGCGACCGCGATACCAGTCGACTTTCTCGTTGAAGACACAAGGTTCAGAGGCATCCATGGCCCCAATCGTGTCTCCGTGGTAGCTGCCTTTGAGTCCAAGGACGCCAACGGCCTCTTTCGCGCTATCCCAGCCATAGCGCTTACTGGACGCACGAAGCGCCATTTTGATACCGACTTCTGTCGCTGTACTTCCGTTGTCTGTGTAGAACACTTTCCTCAAACGAGTCCCTCGTGGCGAGCCCGAAAGTATCTTTTCCGCTAGAGTGAGAGCTGGTTCGTGTGTGGCGCCGGCGAACATGACATGACCATAGCGTCCTGCTGCATATGCTGCTTCCAGTGCCAATCGCGGATTACCGTGTCCAAGACCTTGCGTCCACCATGATGCGGAGCCGTCAAATGCTGGGTACAAGGTCTGGTTCTCAGGATGGGGCACCTCTTCATTTCCCTTGTGCTTGACCTGGAAGAAGTCGCCATATGCCGAATCGATGACTAGTATGTCGTTTGCGTTCTTCACATGCTTGTGCTGTGTGAAAGGATGCCAAATCTTGTCTTCGGTTTCGTACGGCATGGATCCTAGGCGGCTGAGTCGCTGGTCATGGCGATGAATCAGGTCCTTGGCAACCTTTCCTACTATTATACTATCGCTTTCCGTGTCGTAGTAATTCCGCATAATTTCCTTCTCTCCTTCGGTACCTGGAGCAACACCTTGGAAATTCGGAATCCATTGTAGTTTGTAAGCTGGTATACCCATATCCATGAAATACTTCTTTAAGTAATCCGCGTTCTCATATTGGCTCTTGTCGTCGAAACACACAACGGCATCGATATCATATCCTCGCATGATCAGGGACTCCGCAGCTGATATAGTAGAGGCTATGCCACCTAACCGGTGGTCGCCTACGAGCACCGCAGGAAGTCGTAGTGGTCGAAAGATATCCGCCTGTGGGGTGCCGGAAGGTCCTGGGCTCAGAACTCCTCCAGCTGTCTCAATTATCGAAAAGAGTCTGCCCTGATCTAATGTGCCTGCTGCGTTCTGGACCGTCTTGAACACCGTTTGGCTGATGAGCTCATCGCTGGGCTTTGCTAGTCAATCGCTGTTGGCGAAAGCACGACAATAAAGGTAGAACTCACAATATTTTTCGAACCCCTTGCCGCAACATGCGGGCTCACAGCTTTGTCGAATTTGAAGAGTGTAGAAACACGCTGGCCAGTGTACTTGTGCACATAGCTAGCGTACAGTCAGCCCTTATGTCCCAAATATCTGTCGGATCACGCATCACCACACTGACCTATCGTCGGCTTCATCAGCTGGGCCTGTAGATACAGGCTTTATATATTGTACTTTGTAAGGCCCGTGGCGTAACGGCGATGCCCTGCTCTTGAGGCTTGCCCTACCGAAATGCGCACCCAAGAGCGTCGAGAAAACTGTTTTGCCAACTCCCGTGTTGGCACCATAGACCTGAACAGCAATCGCGTTCGTCCACAACCCTCCTGGCACCTTCGCCATTTCTTTTTTACTTCCAGATAGTGGTGAGTTGAGGAAGGTGCTATGGTAGATGGCTGCACCTGCATGCTGTCCAATGCGGAGAGTGCGCTAGTGGTTCCGCGTCCACACCGACGCTAAACATGCAGGTACAAATGTAATGAGTCAAGCCGCATCTCCGACGGCATCGAGGGGTCAGCTTATGCGGTCTTTTAGCTAATGAGTATGTTTTTACTTTTGACAGCTTTCGACGACGCGGATAGCCGCGGCAGACCCCACGCTTCCTTCCCGCTTTCCGCTGATCCTACCACGCCAGCCATTTGGTCAGCTCCACACCATCACTGAAGGTCACGTTATCGTGGGTCAAAGGCGTTCCTATCTATCGCCTTCTACAGAAAGACATGGGGAGCAAAACGCATTCGGCGCCGTTGCAAAACAAGTTACAAGAACTACTCGATCGCCGCCGGACAAACGCAACACTCCGTAATCTGACGTTACAACTTCAAAATCAGACCGACTTCTCGTCCAACGATTTTCTGTCGCTATCCACTTCGCCACAACTCAAATCGGAGTACCTCCAAGAGCTGCAAAGAATTGATTTGCCATTGGGCAGCGGCGGGTCAAGACTCCTAGATGGCAACTCGACGTACGCCGAACAGCTGGAGCAAGAGATTGCTAACTTCCATGGAGCTGCATCTGGACTACTGTTTAACAGTGGTTTTGATGCAAACGCGGGATTCTTCGCGAGTGTACCGCAGCCGGGAGACGTGATAGTCTATGATGAGCTCGTACATGCAAGCGTTCATGATGGCATGAGGTTATCACGAGCGGGGAAGACGATTGCTTTTGAACACAACTCCACATCTGCCCTAAAGAATGCTTTGATAGCAGTTCTTGGTGAGGATGAGGGTGTGCGAGACAAGAGCTGTAATGTGTTTGTGGCATTGGAATCCATCTACAGTATGGATGGAGACGTATGCCCTTTGAAAGAGATGGTGGAGGTCGTAGAAGAAGTCTTGGGCCCTGAACGAGGATACATCGTTATGGACGAGGCACATTCTACTGGGGTGTTAGGACCAGAGGGGAGGGGTCTGGTATGTGAGCTAGGCCTCGAGCAACGCATATTCGCACGGCTCCACACATTCGGAAAAGCGGTAGCGGCGAATGGAGGTACGTCGTATTTCTTTCTCCCCAAGTTTATGACAGATGCTAAGCACTTCACAGCAATCATTCTCGGCTCAGACACATTGCGTCATTACCTCATCAACTACGCACGTCCACTTATCTACACGACATTCCTGTCCTACCCTTCGTTGGCCCTCATACGCTGTTCGTACCGGCTACTTCAGTCTGGCCAGAGCGTGAAACTACAAGCCCATCTACAAAATCTTACCCAGCATCTCTACACCAACCTCGGCCATCTCCAAAGACACTCGAAATCGGCTGGTCAAGCACTCACAATTCCAAGTGCATGCCCGAGATCGCCCATATTCGCAGTACAGCTGGCAAGACCAAAGGTTCTAGCAAGCTTTCTGCAAACTCATGGTATGATGGTCAGAGCCGTGGTACCGCCGACTGTTCCGGTGGGTACTGCTAGAGTGAGGATCTGCTTACATGCTGGTAACACATCAGCAGAGGTGGATAGACTCGTAGAATTGCTTGGGAAATGGTGTGAGAATCAGGCAGGTGAACAGTCACAAGGTCATTTACAAGAAGCGGGTGTGCAAGCGAAACTCTAGCTTCAATTGAGATAATCATACGGCTCAGCATTGCAGTGCTTCACTGCGTGGCAACTCTGTGATGATAATTCTACATAGACCATTTCTGCCCTCAAGCAAGTGCCTGAACCGTAGCCTCCGCCTCAGCAGCCGCAACAACCGCTTCAGCTTCATCCTGTCCCGGAAGCTTGCGCTGCTCTCCAATTGTCTCCTCCATCTTCATAGGCCTCAATCCCCATCTGCCAAACATAGCCTTATCCTCTTCCCAACCGTTGCAAGCAGTCGTCAACATCTTCTCGCCCGTAAAGACGGCATTAGCGCCCGCTTGGAAACACATAATCTGCTTCTCCTCGCGCATTGTGTGGCGACCAGCCGCGAGTCGGATAATGGTGGTCGGCATGACGAGTCGTGCGGTAGCAATGGTACGTAGGATAGCGTCGAAGGAGATGGCTTGTGTCTCGCCGAGGGGTGTGCCTTTGATCGGTACTAGGGCGTTGACGGGGAAGCTCTCGGGATGGGCTGGCAGTGTTGCGACGGTGTGGATGAGACCGACGTGGTCACGAGCCTTCTCGCCTAAACCAAGGATACCGCCGGTGCACACATGAATGCCGGCTTCTTGGACGTTCTTGATGGTGGCGAGTCGCTCGTCGTACGTGCGAGTGGTGATGACACTGGGGTAGTGCTCCCGGCTGGTATCAACATTGTGGTTGTATGCAGTCAATCCAGCGTCTTTGAGCTCTTTTGCTTGCGCGGCATCAACCATACCTATTATGTAGGAACATGAAGTCAGTGTGTGTCTGACATGCAGTTCGTAAACTTGGTGCTTACCCAAAGTGACACATGCCTCCATACCCATGCCGCGAACCCCTTTTATCATCTCCTTGATGTTCTTGAGATTGGTCTTGCGGCCTCGCATGTCTCGCCAGGCAGCTCCCATGCAGAATCTTGAGCTTCCATTCTCTTTTGCAACCCGCGCAGCTTCCAGGACTGAGTCAACTGATGACAGTTTCGTAGCCTTCAATCCTGTGTCGTAACGCGATGACTGCGCACAGTAGGAGCAATCCTCGCTGCAGCCTCCAGTCTTGATGTTGAACAGTGTGCACATCTGGATGGCGGCGGGGTCATGGAAGCGCCGGTGCACCGAAGCCTACAACGGGATTGATGAGACATTGTCTATCCAAATAGTGATAGAGCTGTGTGACATACCGCTGCATGTGTAAGGTCTATCAGCGAAGTATTGTAGACTTCAGTAATCTCCTCCTTCGTCCAGCTGGTCCTGGGCGCACTTGCATTGAGCGCGTTCTCAAAGACGGAGCCTGTCCGCGCTGGTGAGCGTAATTGTTGAGTTCCAGGGTCGACAGGGGTATCGAGAACGGTGCTGAAGGAGCGGGTGATCTGCAGGGAGCGAGGCGCGAGCGACAAGCCCCGGCCTGTTCGAAGAAGCACTCTTTGAGCCATTGCGAAAGGTCAATTGATGCTCGATACGAGTCGTCGAGATCACGTACAGTCAACAGGTGCCTCAAACTAGCTGCCCGCTCACGGCTTACGGGAGACGGCTCTAGGGCTCCAGGAACGCGTCGGCCTACGTTTGCAGATCAGCGTGGGACTTCCGCCAATCAGAATCGAGGCAATGACCGCGGGGTTCCGTGGCGTCTTTACATTATCTAACCCTCTAGACCGAGCGGTCCAGCCAAAAGCGCCGAGGTAGTCATATAACTCAATGGCTAGTATCGCTGATGTCGACATCGAGTGGAGACTTTTAGGTTTGTTGACGTTGCAAGATTGCAATTGTCTCCCCGAGGGTCTACCCCAAAACACACCTCCAACTCCAGTCTGCCGCATCATCTCCCCAAGACCGTCTGTTTGATATGGTTCAGCGCACTCCCCGCTCTCAGCCACTTCAATTGACCGTTGCTGTAACTATGGTTGAGCGGCGCGATCCACTCTCCTGCATTATTCGCGCGCACCACACGCATGCTAGCCTGCCTTCCCGGCCGTAGCTCGCCGTCTTCAACACCTTGTAGCGTAATGCGATCGCCCAACTGGATGCGATCGTAGTCCTGGGGATTCGCAAAAGTCAGAGGCAGCATGCCCTGCTTCTTCAGATTGGTTTCGTGTATTCTGGCAAAAGAGCGCGCTATGATCGCGACGCCACCGAGGAAACGCGGTTCTAGCGCTGCATGCTCACGCGATGACCCTTCTCCGTAGTTGAAGTCCCCGACAATACACCAGTTTACACCTTGATCGCGCAAGTCTCGGGCGACTTCATGCACAAGTCCGATTTCGCTGGTTAGCGGGTGGATCGTGTGGCCGAGCAATTTGGAGTCGGAACCTAGGAAGGCGTTCGAAGCTGCAAGAAGCATGTTGTTGCTGATGTTCTCAAGATGACCACGGAATTTGTACCACGGGCCTGCGGGACTAATATGATCGGTCGTGCACTTTCCTTGGACTTTGACGAGAATCGGCATGTCTTTCGTCGAGCCGGGACACCAGGGTTTGAAGGGCTCAAGTAGTTGCAGACGCTCAGACTGTGGGTCAATGTCGACTGCCACATCGTCGGCGTCATGAAATGGAGCTTGGTAAAAATCCTCGCCCACAACGAACTGCATGGGCAACTCGACGTTCTTTGGTGCTGTAAACTGGAACCCCTGCGCTGACCCTTCGATTTGAAGAGAGTCGATGACAGGATTGAAATCCAACCTTCCAGAGTAGGCAAAAGCCGTCACCATCTCTGGAGATGTCACAAATGAACAGGTCTCTGGGTTTCCATCGTGCCGGCCAACAAAGTTGCGATTGAAACTGGAAACTACCGTGTTTCTCTCGCGGCCTTTGACATCGACGTCTGTACGCTGCCATTGCCCTACGCAAGGGCCACAAGTTGTGCTCAGTACAACAGCGCCTGCCTCGCGCAATGTTTGCAGTATACCCTCCGACTCTGCAGTCGCGCGTATGTCTTCGCTGCCTGGGGAGACCAGAAAGGGTGTATTCACTTTCGGTAAACCAGCAGCCTTGGCCTGCTCGACAAGCTGCGACGTCTTGTATAGATCTTCGTATGAGCTGTTGGTGCAGCTGCCCACCATGGCGTGACTGACTTCCACAGGCCAGTCATTCTTTGCTACAGCATCTTTGAGTTCTGAAAGAGGATGCGAAAGATCCGGAGTAAAAGGACCGTTGATGTGTGGTTCTAACGAGTCTAGATCGATTTCGATAACTGTGTCATAGTGCTTCTCGGAGCCTTCATCTGCGGTCAGCAGGATATCCTTGTAGCCGTTTGCGAGAAGCGCGATATCTTTCCGCTTCGTCGCCGAGAGATATCGATTCATGGCCTCGGAGTAGGGGAAGATACAGGAAGTCGATCCAATTTCAGCTGACATGTTGCAGACCGTGGCCATGGCCGTGGCACCCAACGTCTGCGTACCTGGGCCAAGAAACTCAATCACCTTGCCCTTTCCACCTGAAACAGATAGTATACCGGCGAGTTTGCAGATGATATCTTTTGTCGAGGCCCATCCATGCAGGCTACCGGTAAGTCGGACACCTACGATCTGTGGGCACATGAGCTCCCAGGGCATACCAGCCATCGCATCGACTGCATCAGAACCCCCAACCCCAATGCCAAGCATTCCCATGCCGCCGGCGTTGGGCGTATGCGAGTCCGTCCCGATGATCAGGCCTCCAGGAAACGCATAATTCTCGAAGATGGTGGTGTGGATGATGCCGGCACCCGGTTTCCACCAGCCGATTCCGTATTTCTTCGCTGCGCTACTAAGAAACGCGTAAACCTCGCGATGCTCTTCTCTTCCACGGACAAGGTCCTCCTCGGCGCCGTCGCGCGATACAATGAGGTGATCGCTGTGCACTGTTGTGGGGATCTGGACTTTCGGGAGGCCTGCGCTGATGAACTGTAGCAATGCCATAGTAGCCGTCGCATCATGACATGCGACTCTGTCTGGGCGGAGGTGCAGCAGCGTCTCTCCACGCCTGATTTCATCCAGAGACCAGTGGTGCTCAGCGGAAGTATAGAGGTGACTGTACAGCACCTTCTCCGTCAAGGTCAACGGGCGCGGGGAGCCATGTCTAACAGACTTGAGCTGCAAGACCTGTCGGTCGTAGTCGAGTGATATGCCTGCATCGAGAGGGCTGATCGACACGCGCGGTGCAAGCGAAGCCAGACTCCTCGCATACGAATTGCTACATCGATGTAGAGGGTACCTTCGCGCTGCAAGTTTAGTAGTAAGCATGACTTAACAATGGCTTGGATAGCACAGGAGGAACGACACAAGCCATGTTTGCGATGTTGTGAGAAAAGGCAGGTCGGAAACATGCTCCTTATCCGTAGCCGGTCGGCTTTTGAATATAGCGCTAGAATCTCGGGATATCTTTTGAAGCCGAGCAGAACAGTGCCGAGGGAACTATGGACAAAAAGGAGTTTGAACAACCACAAACAATAGGGCAAGCCACCAAATGCGAGGGCATGGAACCTGCATTTTCACACGACGGACTCGTCGTAGTCTTCAGCATGCATAGTAATTGTGACGGAAGCTGATTAGTCTGCCTTTTCTCGAAGTTGGCGCATGAGCCGAAGTTGGGTATCGATAGGGATATGAAGCAGATGCGATAGGTCTATTCTACAAAGCAAGAGCGTTTCGAATGTGTTCGCGTCGTCGCGTCCCGTTGGTATCGCGTTCCAACGCAGGACCCAGCAGCCCACCTGGGCATTCTTTCAACCCTGCAAGTTCTAGAACACGATGACGTAGCGTCCCGTCCCTCCACCAAACTTCCTTCTACACCTTCACACCCACACCAGCAAGCACATCACCAACGATCCCTCCAACTCCACCTTCGAGCTTTCTCAGACGCTCTCCTCTGAATCAACCATGTTCTCCCCCTCCATCTACACCGTCAGCGTCTTCCAACTCGGTCTCACCTCGACCCTCAGCGCCTACGGCCTCTACCTCTCCTACCAAAACATAACGCGCCTGCAGCAATACGAAAAGCAGAGCGAGAAAGCTGCAGAATGGTCAAATACTGCGGCGCAAAGACTGCACAAGACGCGGTCGACGCAGACGAGTGGGACTGTTACGGTATGCCATCCCCTGTCAAGGCTAATGCGAGGACATCTTTAACTAACAAGATGGTTGTAGCTACTACTCAGTTTCCTCACCTCCACGGCCCTCCTCATCGTACCTAGTCTCGCGTCTACAAAAGTGCTTATTGGGGCTGGTGCGGCGAATGCGGCGGCTGCGTACCTCGCGAGGGTACACATGAATAATTTCTGGAACGACAAGAATCAGACGAAAATCCCGTTTGTCGAGAAGTTCAATGAAGCGATACGAGGAAGCGAGCTAGTGGTTCTGTTACTGGGTACACTGAGTCTGGGATGGGCAGCAGCAGGCGGCGTATGGGCGGGCATGGCGAACGGTGGCTCTGGGATACTGGGACTGGGTGTTTGGGGGCTGGTCGTAGGTGGTAGGGTCATGTCGATTGCGCCGCGCATGGGGTGGACCAGTACCTCGCAGTCTTAGAAATGAGCAACGCTGGAATTATCTATCGGGAACTTCATGTATACACGGGTATCTTGGACGGTGAATCACGATTTCATGTCTTCCACCTCACTCATCTCGCGCACCAGCCGCACACTATCCGCTTCTCTGACCCAGTCTTCTATCCTTGCGCCGACATCTCCTACTAGCTTCTCGTACGTCTCGTTGATGAAGAAAAGCGATGTATGTGCTGTCACTTCGTCCATGTTCTCCATGAAGACTCGTATCCATGTAGGGTCTTTGTTTCCGTCCGCGTCTTTCGGTGGTAGCATGCAGAATTTCTTGAGCTTCTTTGGTTTAGCAGGCACATTCTCTTCCGACTCGGTCTTTGGTCGATGGCTATTCTGGCTGTCCATTGTGGAAAGGGTGTAGGAGGAATCGGTGCGGCCGTCTGGTGTGTCTTGACGCATAATTCCGCTACGGGAGAATTGGTAGTTGGCGTATGGATGCTGGGGGTTGTGTTGAGCTGGCTCATCGTCTCCCAGTTCAATAGCACCAATGTCCTCTTCCAGGTCAGTCGTAGCCCGTTTTGGTTCGGCTTTGTCTTCTGCGGGTATCTTCCCATCACGCAAGTCTGCCTCTCGTTGCCTTTGCCGCGCTTCTTCTTCCCTCTGCTCTGCCTCCGCTTGTCGCTGTTCTCTTTCTTTCTGCCTTTGCTTGTCCTCTGCTGACATGTTGTTTGCCTCTTCAGCCTTCTTCAGCTCTTCCTTCTCCTGCTCCTTCCTTGCTTTCTCCCGCTCTTCTTGCCTCTTCTTCTCTTCCTTCTCTCGGTCCTTCTTCTCTTTCGCTTTTTCCTTTTCCCACTTCTCTTCCATCTTGGTCCGTTCGTTGATCGTCTTGTTGCGTGTCTTGACAGCTTTCTGATATACTTTAAGGGCCTGGTCGTGCTCTTTCTCTGCAGCTTTGCGCTGGGCCTTGTCAGAGAATTGCATCAGATCAACAAATGGTGGCTCCTGCGGGATAGGCGGGATCTCTGGTAAGTTTGGAGGACCGCTGTCCTCGCGCGCTGGTTCCTCGAAAGTTTGAGGTGCTGTAGGGCTGGTAGCCGAGAGGAGGTCTTGAGGGCTGACAGGCACGATACCGTCCTCTCGATGCTCGTGGACTTTAATGGATAGCGGCGGAGAATCTACTATGGGTTCAGGGTGCACGTGTGTCATCTCTGGCTCGGACGATGTGATGGATGAACTTCTCGACATCTCCTGTTCCTCTATTTGAGCAGGCGCTTGTCGCGATGTCTCACTCGAGGCACTCATGTTGCTGTCGTGATGCTGTAGTTGCTGACTCGAGGACCGAGATGGAGATGGAGATTTCGGAGAAGGCGACTTGGGTGATTTTGGCTTCTTGGGTCTTCCGGTACTTGCAGTGTAGTAGTTGACAAAGCGTACGCGAGGTACTGTGCGCCCTTGGCCAAACCCAGATCTCCTCTTGCTTTCGTCGTCTTCTTCAAGTGCGCGCACCCTTGCGTATCTGTTCTTCAATTCCTTGTAGTCGGCCATTGCGCTACCGAACTCGAAATGGGACTTGACGAGCCCCTTGGTGGCTTCTTTTAAGCCATCTTTGTAGTGTTTGGTAAGCCAGTGTAGGCTGTTTTCCCAGCCCTTCCGATTTGGCAGGTTCACATCATTTGGGAATGCCGGGTTGTAATTGGGATCCGTAGGCTTTGGGTTGAAGATTGTACTCATTCTACTGGGTCTCTTTCCAACGTCGGCGTCTTGCACAATCGCGTCCTGTGGTGTTGGCGGTGAACTGAAGATGCTGCCTAGTCCAGCTTTGATAATTCCAGGATGCATGCCCAGGAACGGAACATCGAAATTCACAATGCCAATGATGCGATGGCGGAATACTAGCGCGATGTCTGCAGCCAGCAAGCCACCCATGGAATGACCGAGCAAGACAACGTCAGTCCATTGATCCTCGTGTGGAGCTAGCCTGACAGCTGTCAGTCCTGAGCATGTTGATGGGTGAGAGAAGCGAACCATCTCGAGAAATTGTCTCTCGCAATCTCAAGCGAATCCCTCGACTTGTATCTGGGATAGATCTTTGTGTGGACGACATGGGTTTCGGCGAGCGTGATAGTCACAAGATTGTGCACGTGGGCTGGGAAGCTCCTAAAACTTGTTTCGTTGCCCATGAAGCCATGAATGAAAACGAGCATTAGGCGCCGTCGCCCGGTGTCTCCCTGTGAGGGATCTGGAACGAGCGACTGCGTTGATGAGGAGCGCGGGTCTTGCGACGACATGCCCATGACGGAGTAGGGTGGAGGCGCATCACTTGTTGAAGAGTCGCGGGGAGGAAGAGGTGGTGGGCGTCTTTGGTGCTTTTCGGGGTCCATTGCTTGATTTGTTGGAGACGTCACTGTTGGGTGTTGGTGCACCTGTTACGACACGGGCGACACGCATGGGAAGAGGCACGAATTATATAACCAGTGTCTTGAAAACTGGGAAGTGTTTGCGAGGCTTGGAAGGCGCGCAGTTCAGAGGGGCAATGTGGGGTAAAACGCGACAACTCATACGCAGGTCCGATACGAAGGACGGCGTATTCGCTCGCCACTCGCGTATTCATCTATACGCATGCTCAACAAGTAGGTATGACCTATAGACACGCGCTAGAAAGACAAGACCACTGGTTCGACACTTTGCACCGTCAGTTTGCTGAAAATCAACGAGAAAAGACGTGCGCAACGCGATGTAGTAGTCCACAAGCGGCAGGCAGTCGTAGCTGGCGTGTGGAACCCGATGAGACGCACGCTTTCCTAGCAGAGACAAAGACTTGCACTTAGAAGCAGCAAGGGACGGAACCGCGGAATCTGGCGCGCCGCCGATCACCCCTTTGGTTATATCGTTATATAGACATTCTATATGTTTGTGTTTCGAAGTCGCGCTCGTGTCAGAGGATATTTGAAGTTCCGTGTTAAGGTGCATGACTCGTGCGTATAGAGCTGATCGCTGAGGCCTTGTCGTTTAGGTTTGCTAAGGTCTGTGAAGCTATATGACGAATAGTCATGCACCGCAGAGTGGCACATCTCACAAGTCATGGAGGAATGAGGCATGCTGAAGGGCAGGTCTGGATCAGGAGGGTAATGTCATACGGCGTGGATGGCCTCGTTCTTTGTTCGGCGTGGTTCATGCGCGGTTGTTTGCTGACGCGATAGGCCAGGGGCTCCAGACAAACATACTAGACAGTGGCGCGTTCCAGAGAGGAAGCTCGTGATGTTGGTGGTGAACTATGAAGGCCACCCTAGCGAACAATGAACACTACTCGGGCTTGGCAATACGCCAGCCAGCAGACACGGGCCGGCGGTGGTGGAAAGGGCACGGCGGCAGATTGCAGCAAGCGAGTCCCCCAAGGCGACGAGCACGAGTCGGCGATGCTTGTGCGACAATAGCAATGGCAGGTGCGACAACCCAAGGGCGGCAACTAAGAATAACACCTCGACAGACTTTGCAGTGGGCCATGGCCCTGCATACTCCGTTCCAGAATGCGGTACCTGAAAGGCCGTCGCTGGATGGTGTGGCGCCACTGCAGGTGCAAGCGGGACGGCTAGTTAGCAGCCCCTTTGGACCATGGTACGCCAATTCTCCGAAGTTATACTGCCGAAGAATGAAGCTCGACGACGCGCGACGGGTGGGCGAGGACGAGATTAAGCAAGAGATTGCCGTCGTCACCAGTCGTCATGGCAGCGAAGATCCAGCGCTGCTTCGTGCGTGTGGTGATATCGTGTGCCGGTGGGGCCTGCTATTCCTGGACATATCATCTCGGTTGCGGGCCAATCAGTCCCACAGGGCCCGTGCCAACGGCCGACGGACCCCAAACGGTTTCTCGTCTCCTCGCTGCATCTGGCTGGGCTGGAGCGTCGGCGTGCGCTGTGAAAGTGTCTGTGTCTGCTCCTTGTGTCCCGATCGCTCTCTCCCACGACGCTTCCGCCGCGACGTCGACAATTCCACGGACCCAGCGCTACCACGGCCAAGGGACCCTCAGGACAGCAGCTGTTGGAGCCGCCGTCGCGCGACACCCACACCACGTCTGGCCCACCCCGTTGCACGATACACGACGCTAGAAATTGCGTCCGCCGCCCGTTCCCCCATAACCACCCCGTCCGCCCCCTCAACCGCGCGACCGTCGCGAAGCAAATGCTGGCCTATTGATCGCCTTCACGTAGGTCCTCCTCTGCATCCATCCTCCTGACATGTGAGTGCTGATCGTTGCCGCCTCCAGACCATCCCTCAGTCAGTCACCTGGCGTCCATTCTTTTGCCGACATTCACTCGCTCCCACCCAAACCCACTCCATTGACTGGACTCCCTGCATCGGCTGAAGCCCGTACGTCCGCTCATTCGCAACACCGTCCCTACAACACATGTACCGCCAAACCGCGCACCTCGCCACCGATACTCTGAGAGCATCGCCCTAGTCCATATTGCCTGGCCCCGTCTCTAGACCTTTATGGACCCCGTTGCAACACCTCCCAGGATATCCAGAGTCGATTCGCGCTACCGTCACCGCGCGCAAAACGTCCCGCCCCAGAGCGAACCTGTGCCGCAATCTGAAGAGAAAGAGGAGGAACCAAGCCAGGAGGACCTTATCCCTGAACTGAGAGCCAGAGACAGCATGAGCAGAGGCCATCGCTTCTTTCACCGTCGTGCTGCGCTAGGCAACACGAAGGTTGTCACTGTCGCCGTCGAAGTAGTCGGAACCGTCGATACCAGCGGAAGTTTCATCGCTCAGGAGACTATGGCGCCCGTCACACCTCAGTCCCCAGATGCACCTGCACTACCGACTGCTGCAGCAGTCGCAGCGCCTTCACCCGCACCAGCGCCCTCAGTAGCCCCCGCAGCGCAGCAACCACTGCCCTCCGCTCCCTCACCCGGTGTCCCAGCAGTACCAGCAGTACCTACAGTTGCGGCTCCTGTGCTTCCGTCCGTCCCAGCAGTCCCACCTTTCCCAAGTGACCTGGTGGTTCCCACCGTTCCTGCGTACCCATACTCTACAGGCGGCCAAGTCCCGGCCACTTCAGACTTGAGCGCATCTCCAATTCCAACTGGTGCCCCCATAAGCATTGCGACTCCATCTGCAGCCCCTGTGCCGCTATCAGATGTTAGTTTTTTCTTGAACTCGACCGCATCTAGTAAGCCAGACGACACTGTCAACACGATCAAGTCTAACATTTCCAGGCACTGCTTCCTTGTTCTCATCTTCTTCATTCGTCTCTCTTGACAGCATCTCGGCGTCAACTGCGACTGACCTGATTGCGACCATCGCAGACGCTCCGACTCGCTCGACATCTTCATCGGCATCGCAATTCACGTCCTCGTCCGACGCAGCGTCATCTTCTCAAACTTCAGCAGAATCTGCTTTCACTAGCAGTACCGTCATCTCCTCGGATGCTGCGTCAACAACAGCATACTATGGTGGTGCCGGTGGGGATGCGTCTGGAACGGCGGCTGCCCCTGCTGCCACCACAGCAGGCATCTCAGATGCTGATGCCGACACCGCTCCTTCTCCACTTGAAACCCCACAGGTCGTCGGAAGTGTAGTGGGCAGTTTGGCAGGCGCTGCGCTCATTCTCGCCATAATACTGCTGCTGCTTAGACGTCACAAGCGGAAGCAGGGCGGTGCTTTACAACTCACTGGCGACGATCACACCGATAACAACCAGTCGATGAGGCAAGCACCCACCACAGCTAGTACTTTGGCTCCTATCGCCTTCTTGAACCGTTTCTCTGGTTTGTCAGGGAAGACTGCGGAAACCAACCTCAGTGGTGGTGAACGCAGCTTTCAACGGGTGTCAGGGCGCAAGCTTCCTTCCGCCTTCAGCGAGGGCATGACATCAGATCAGTTCTCTCGTGGCGGCACAATGTCTGGGTCTTCTTTCTACCAAGATGAACACGGCACATATGGCGGTCCCGGCATGTCAAAAGAGTTTGGCAAGGAGATCGGTGACAGCCCAACGAACCGAGAGTCAGGACCCATGAACATTCGACCCAGCCCAGCCAGGACACCAGTCATACGGCATCCTGATGATGGCAACCCCTTCTCGGACCGTCACTATCTCAGTCCGCCACAATCTCCAAATCCCGATGCCCCACCCAGAGGCACTCTTGGTAGAAGTCTGCCTTCGGCGGATGGATCCAGGTCATCTCGGTTTACAGAGAACGTTTGAACGATCTACTAGTCTTTTGTTGCCTTCTTACTCTCGCTCCAGCATCTGTTTTGCCTAACGACACGCATGAACGTGCGTATTGCTCACCTCGCATTGTACCCACCATCTCGCATCTCTTGTCGGTCTTGTCTTGTATACCCCAGGATCCGCTCGACATGTTCCACTACTCACCACATACTGTCCTTAATCCGGCCGCAATCTGGCGGCCCAGAACTAATGTCTTGTCGGCTTCCTTTACTGTTTGTTGTTTTACTATAGTCGTTTTCAGCTCCATTCTTCACGATACTGCCGGATCGGGAACGGTGCCTAGTTTCATACCCCTGGTTGTTGCTCTCAAGGAGAAATCCCTGGGTCTAGACCATTTGTTTATATCGGCTCTGTGGTCCGTGTATATATTCTACGCTGTGCTTCCTTGAAGCCGGCCTCGTGCATATGGTCGCCATGTTTGTTATGTATGTTGGGGCGCGAGGGCAATTCGGACTAGAGGTCTCGACTATAGGGTTGGCGGAGTTCATAGTGGTCTCTCCCAATGCTCAAAAGTTTTGGTCTTGCAAATTACAGTCTGACCTGCGTGCACCTCATTGATCCAGTGATGCATCGGGTAAGTATGCATGCTGCTTACCACGTTTCTATTTCTAGCACAAGATGCAATACTAGCACACATAAGGCTCCTGTGTTTCCTGTCCTGGCCGGCGCAGCATGCATTACCGTTTCCTTAACACGGTCCATGTCATGTTCATCACCTCCGTGGTCTTTTGATAGGGTACTTGGCATCCTCATGACATCGCTCTCGGTTGGCCGGCCGCAGCTCAGCCCCACCCGTGCTTGCCTAACCGTAAGCACCGCCCCAAGATCGACGGTAGTACCGCCTAGCGTCACGTAAGGCTTCCCAGATGGACATGATTAAATGCCAATGCCGACACCAGACTCACACCTATTGCTCTTACTATCTGACTCTCAGCACCAGAAAGCCACTCTATCCTACACTACCTACCATTCGCGCACCTATCCCTAACACCTGACGATAAGCAACAGCAGCAGCAACAACCCCAACCCCAACATCACCAGCCTTGCAACCCCCAAACACCCACACAACCATGGCCCTCGCACCAGCCCCCCAGCCCATCGGCGTATTCCCGCAATTCTTCGCCGCAGGCCCCGAAACGCTCGTGCTGAAAGAAAAGGTCATGTCCCTCAGCGGTGACAGCTTCAGCATCAAGCTCGCAAACGGCACGCCCGTGCTCAAAGTCGAAGGCAAAGTCATGAGCCTGACTGGCCGCAAGAAGATGTTTGATATGCAGGGTAACCACCTGTGCAGCATAGTCAAGGAGCATTTCCACATCCATTCCACGTATGTGGTTGAGAGTGCGGGGGGCGAGAAGATTATGGAGGTGAAGAGTAGTTTTAAACGTAAGTATTCTGTCTGGTTTGTGATGATGATGGGAGATGTGTGAGAGAAGGCAGATGGGCGTGGTTTGATGTCTGATTTTAGAATGTTCTTGGCTGACGATGAGATACAGTATTTGGAAGCAAAGCAACAGCAACATTCACGTCGCAAAACGGCAAGCAAGAAAGCCTCACTATGAAAGGCGACTTTTTCGATACTCAAGCTGATATCCTGGATGAGGCGCAAGGAGGTTCGTATCTCCCCCTCCCCTCCCTCCTCTCCCTCCCTTCCCCTACCCTACCCACCCCCAACCCTCAAACTAACCCCTCCTCTTAGGCCTCGTCGTCGCCCGCATCGATCGCAAGCTACTCAGCGGCAAAGACATATTCTTCGGGCAGCAGACCTACGGCGTGCAAATCGCGCCTGGCGTCGACATGGCGCTCATCGCCGCACTGTGCATCTGCCTCGACGAGAAGAACAACGAGGGGTCGTAGAATAACTCGAAGAGGAAACAAGTGCCGTATGTGTTTTCTTTGGCAAACAAGGCGACGAAGGGGAGGAGTAGTACGTGGATGAATCAGGCGACTAAGGGGAGGAGTGGGACGTGGTGGGAGAGGGTTGAGGGCGTGGGGATGAGGAGGGGGACTTGGTGATGGGGAGGGAAGGTGTGGTGTTTGTTGTGTATACCCTTTGCGTGGAATATTGATGTCTCTTTCTAGTCTATTCAACTGTTTCGTGGGGCTGATGTGTCTGATGATAAGAAAGGTTTTGCGAAAGTTGATCTCTTTACGCATCTCCGTGGGAGGATGACAGTGCTTGGAACACGTATAGCTTCGTTGCAAATATCATGGGTCATCGCCAGACATACATGGTCTAACCACTGCGACTAAACGGCACGACGCATGACTCACAGTCACGACAGGAGAATGAAGAGTGAAGTATATAATCTTGATATTAAAGGAGCGTCTTTAGTTGCTTATCACTCACTCATCTCCATCCCAGCATCTATACACAACAACACCTATAACTTCCCCCAGAAACCCCACAAAAAACAACAAAGGAGAGATCTAATAAGCCGAAGTACAGGCAATCGGGAAAAACATGGCTAAGTGACCACGTCCCGCAAAATATATGCTAGTAATGCAGTCTAACACGAAGCAAGACGGAGAAAGCAACAGAATATAGAGAAGGATGGGAATGAATCAGAGGTTACGCATGAAGAGATAAACGAGGAACGCCTGCCCGATGAATGCTATGCTTGACTTGGGAAAATTTATCACACCTTCTTCTGCAACAAAACTTTTGGCCGGCCTGGTTGTATGCTCACGTCTGCAATCCGTTCCTTGTCCCGATCTTTTCGCGGAGGGGGTATATATGCCACTTGGCTTGACAATGGCGGGGCGCGGGGAAGGGCCGGCTGCGAGGGTACTGCAGCAAGGTCGATGACGACCAAAGAATTAAGACACTGTCTGGACCGTGTTTTGGCAGTCCAGCCACCATGTTCGATTACTTCGATCCAGCGAGCAATTCAGATCCCGGTACATTGTGGCCAAAATCTAAGATCAAAGTCCTGCCATCCTGGCTTGTAGCAACAACGCGTCTGTAGTCACTCTTGGCTGAGAGGATCCAGCTCGTTGTCCAGTTCTTGTAAACAGCATATGTTTGCCCAGTCTCATAATCCGAAACTTGTATACTCTGGTCGTACGAGCCAGACACGATGCGACCGTTGAAGGCGTCGAGGAACAGGGAGCGTACAAGACCGTCGTGCTTAACTCTGCTGTGGACCAGCTCGCCTGTTGAAGCATCAAACTTGTACACGACGTGGTCATTACCACCAGCGAGAACGTATTTTGCATCATCGGAAAACTCGACAGCGGCGAGACCACGGTCTTCGGACGGGAAGTCTTTGATTGAAACACCAGTCTCAAGGTTCCAGAGCTTAGCTACACCGTCGCCACTAGCGGAAACGAGGAAGTTGCCGCGTAGCTGAACGGCGTTGACGGGGCCTCTGTGACCCTTGAGTGTGCGGACGCAGTTGCCAGTCTTACGGTCCCAGACCTTGATCATGGCGTCCTTGGAGCAAGAGATGATGTACTTGTCATCGAGACAGACGTCTAGGACACCAGCCTCATGGCCGCGGAGTCGGTACATGGGAACGTACTCATCGCCGGTAATGTCCCAAACGATGCAGGTGTAGTCCGAGGATCCTGTCACCATGATCTCGCTATCGTACTGTAAGCAAAGAATGGAAGCGTCGTGGTAGTCGGCGGGGACGGTGTATATTTCGTTGCCAACCTTGGTGCCGTTGAGCGAAGCGTGGCTGATGACTCGTTCCGGTCGCTCCTCCATGGGTGGGGGAGTGTTGGCTGTTGGGCGGTGGTTGGGTCCACCGTAGACCCTGATGCACTTGTAAGTTTTCAGGTCCCACACGCGGATAGTCCTGTCTCGGGAGCCGGTGATGGCCTTGTTCTCGTCAAACTGGCAGCAGTAGACGCTATCTGTGTGACCATTGAGGTAAATGGCAGCGGGTGTACCAGTCTTCCATCGCCCATCGATTGTGCTTCGCGCCCTGAACATCTGCTTCCAGTCCTGGGCTGGTGCTGGGTTGCCGCCTGCCATCTTGCCAGTGCCCAAGCCGCCCATTTGGATAGGCGCAGGGGAGACATGTACTTCGGGTTCGTGTTTGCGGAGGAAGACGTTCCGCCAGACGTGCGGTGACGAGGCGTGTTCGTTCCAGCTGCGCGAGACGCGCTCGGCCCGTACGAGAGAAGCGGCATCGAGGTTCGACAGAACGGTGGTGGCGAGCTCGGCAGGAAGGCGTTGGAAGGGATCGACTGTGACACTGTTAGCGTGGCCCCAATGACTGTTGTTTGCCAACTCACTCATCTTCTTCTCCGTGACACTGTCGGCGCGGACAATGGGAGAAGCACATGTCATGTCCACACCGCTCTCGTTGTCCTTGATGTCGTCATCACGCATGGAGGTGGTGATGAGGCCATTGAGAAAGCGGTGGGTGTGTTCCTGCTCGCGGCGTAGCTGGTTCTGGCGATCCTGGTTTGCGGCGGCTGCTGCTTGTCGGGCGGCGGCGCCTGGTACGGACTGGCTGGGGTAGGAGACGGCGGGCGTGAAAAGGGTTTTGGTGATGTCTGTCGATGGCCCCGAAGCTGTGGGGCGGCGTCGCATGCTACTCAGTCGCTTGAAGGGAGCAAAAGCCTTTGAGCTAGTGCTTTGTGGTTGCAGTTGAAAAGTGGGAATGCCAGAGTCTTGGTGTTGCAGGGGCATTCGCTGTTGATCCATGGTAGATTTCTGGCTAGTGCTCGAAGAGGGCAACGACTCGAATAAGGAATGAATGGAGCCGCGGCGACGCTGTGCAGGTGTGGCGGACGACACGGACGACATGCGCCGGCGCGTCTTTTGGCGGGTGAAACTACCAGCGACTGCACCAAACGCGCGGGAGAAGGAGCTGGCCTGTGAATGCTGCGACAGGCCGTCGGCGTGCATGGTGGCTTCGTTGACGGCGTCCAACATGTTGGTGTCCTTGACGTCGTGTTGGTAGTGGGTAGGGAATGTCTGCGAGATGGTGCGCTTCATCGTGTGCTGCGGCGGCGCGGCAGAGGTGTAGGTGTCGTCGTCCACGTCGGAAGAGGTCTTCGGTCGGTGCGACAGGATGGACTGCCTGCGATGCATGCTACCAGGGATGCTGACTACTGAGCCCGACGAGTTGCGGTGAAGGGCAGGTGCGAAACAGAAAGCGAATCGTAACGTCGCAGGATAACGCGGCGGTGACTAAGAGAGCGTGCACAGCAAAGCGGGCTGCGAGTGTAGGGAGGGTGAGGGTTTGGGCGGAAAGCAAGGATACGCAAAAGAGTCGGACACGAGGTTTATAGCATGAGTATTAGTAGTCGCAGGAGAGGGAAAACAGAGCTTGTTAACAACGCCAGACGACGTGCCACACACTAGGCCAGGAGACTCAGCCGATCTCAAGCCGGTTCGAGTGCCTCCCGAACGTGGTCTGTTCACCAAAGCAACTCCAGACCCACCCCTGCAAATTACCACTTATCTTATCATGCCAGCACTACCCACACCGTCCCACTGCTACTGCTGCTGCTGCTCGTCGTAAAGAGTACCGCTCGTCCGCCTGCTGCAGCATCCGGCTCCTCCGATCCACTGTCACCACGGCCTCCTGCGTCTGCTTATGCTACACCGCTCCGATGGTACGCCATCCAAGTCGCTTCACGGTACACCATCTTGAATCGCGTGTAGCCCACAACCTAGATCACGCGAAACCGGGCCAAACCATCGCTCAAACATCATGGCATCAACCGCTCCACCCGCCCCCATACCCACCGTCTACCGCCTCGTCTTCTGCTGGCTAGAGCCCGCTTCCATCCTTCTAGGTGCCATCTACGCGTTTTTCTTCCAATCCACCTACCTGGACTTGACCCATGCAGCCAGCTCGCCGGGCCTCCCGGTTCCAATCTCAACATCCATAGTCATGTCACAGTTAGCGAATCTGTACCTTGGACTTGCTTTTTTGGAAGCCTCGATCCTGCGCGCCACGGCCGACGTCAAAGTCTGGAAAACCTTCATAGTCGGTTTGCTGCTCGCCGACCTAGGCCATTTGTTCTCTGTGTTGCCGGTCGGAAGCGAGATCTACTGGGCCTTTTGGCGATGGAACGCCATCGATCTGGGGAACGTCCCGTTCGTTTACTTCTTAGCCGTGACGCGCATTTGCATGCTTCTTGGCGTCGGCTTCCAGAAGGAAGGTGTGAGATCGAAGATGACATGAAGGTGCACTGGCAACCGAATGCAAAAACACAAGTCCCATGTATATATTTGTAGTCGTGTCAATAAAATGTCATGCATCGTAGCGAGTCCACCAGCCGTCACCACGACCATCGCAATCTCTCATTTCCACATGTGTGTCCGTCACAAACGACCCAATCCTGCCCAACACGCTCGTCGAGCGACCCAACCAAAACGAGAACATTCGCGTATTCACGATTCATCCCTAGCTAGGCAGCCCAACCGAGCAAATCGCATACCTCGTTACCCCAGACCCACAGTACAAGACCCTGCACATCATCTTGTGCATACCCTTCACCCGTCATCTCACCGACGGGCCTCACCGCCCCAAATCTCTTCACCAAAACCTTCACCACTCGGAATCATTCCGAGCCTAACAATCATCAAACCCGCAAATAGCAGCTTACCCGCAGCACTACAGTGAAACGCCATTACACTTGAAGTCCGCCCTCTCTTACCGCCGCGAATGAATCCCAAATTCTGCTTTAGGTCCTTTGTCCAACAGCGCACCTAGGTAATCCAACAAAGACGCTGCCACGTCTCCATGCTTCTCGACAAAAAATCATCGCGTGGCATCCCCGGCACCACCCACATGCAGCATGCCGAGAATAGTAACAGCAACCTCGCCTTCGCCACGCCTGCTCAGCCTCATGCCCTGCATACCCGCCAGTCATCAGCAATCCCAGGCAGGGCAAGGGAAGCGGGTATCCCGGAGGCGAGGCGCAAACGTCATTACTACCACGAGAGTTTTTCTTCTCCATCCATTCTTTTTTTTTTCTCCTTCGCAACTTTCGCATCATACTCGGGCTTAGCACGCCACTGTACATGTAATTGCAGATCTTGATGTTGGGAGAGGCAAATTTGAAGGGAACACGTCGTTGGGAATTCCCTTTGTTTCGCCGAAACACTAATTCTTGTCACTACCATGGATACGGGCTGCAGCTGCACACAATTGTTAGGCTCGGTCCTGCCCATGACACGCGCCTTGCATCATGTCATGTCGAACCAAACGTTATCTTTACATGCGTACCATGGTTTGCGCGGCGCAAAGGGGTCTTCGCCGACCTTTTCGTTGTGCCCTCGTTCCGAGCAGCCTAGATAGATAGCTACGTGAGTATGATGGGGTGGCCGTCATGTGTACCAGCGGATGCTTGGCGGGGTCGTGTAGGGAGGTCGCGCGGAGAAGGGTGTAATGAACCCCGCACCCACGATGTTCAGCTCTTGGGTATACCGTGGTACACGTGCTTCCAGGCGGGCCTTTGACAACGCAGCGTGTTCGAGAACAATCGTGAGCATTCATGGCGTTTGTAAGATTGCGCTACGTCACAGAGTTTGGCTGTAGTGTACCCGCAGCTTGAGATTGCTGCGAGGTAATTAACATGGCCTGGGAAAGGCACGATGATGGTCTACCCTGTCCAACGTTTCGCACGGCTTTGATTCAGAAACATGTCGTCTCACTGCAAAACATCAACACACAACACTCGTTACAAAGACGAACAATGATAGAGATTCAAGACACTGCTTCCCCTGCACCGCAGAAGCCGGAAGCGACAGGAAGATACGGGGTATAATATCCACACCAGAAAACAGTAATACAAACACGAGACCCAGTTACAAAAGTCAACCCAATGCTGTAGAGATACCGCTTTTCCCATTGCAACATGAAAAGCGCCTTGACCCCATACCAATCAATAAGCTTTGCTCATACATGTTTATTAGGCCGTAATCAATCCGAACACCGTGCAAAGTGACGCAGTATAAACAGAAAGCGAGTGAAATCATGGTACATGGCAGATACATAACAGCGCCCGAAGGCAAAAAGATGAGAAAGAATAGACGCGTAAGTACGCGTCAGGAAAGGAACAGGATTCCAAAAAGGTTGTAAGAATGAGGCTCAAAGCATGGATGGATCAAGTGTTCCACCCATGCTGTCCATGGTCTTCTCGAGCATGTCGAGATCCATCATAGTCCCTGGACCATAGTCAGGGAATAACATCATGTCTTCGCTATCCATGGGAGGAAGAACAACGCCCAGATTCTGCAGGTCTTCAGAGAGTTGCATATCCATTGGGAGGACATCACCAGCCATGGTGATGTGCCATGCATCAGGCATGTCGGCATCCTTGAGATCGATATTGATAACGAGATTGTCGTTCTCGGAGATGTCAGACTGTCGTGTGGAAGGCGTGTCTTTGTTAGATGACTCGGGCGTGGCGGATGGTGAAGCGGGCCGGGAGCGGAGTGCCCACGTGTTATCTTCGTCCTTGAGATCGAAGACTGTGAAAGGCCCGTTCGCATCGAGAGCGGCAAAGGTATCTTCGTAGGAATAGTCAAGAAGAGACATTGGGAGCATGGGCTGCTGCGGCGTCTGCTCTTCGTCTTGAACCACGGGCTCCGGAGCTGTTGCTTGCTGCTCCTTGGGTACAGATTTGGGGATGCTGGCCGGTGTGGGTTTGCCGCGGGCACCCGAGCCAGGTGTAGCCACCTTGGTCATCGCCTGGGGTGTCTTGAGCAGGTTCGACGACGGTGAGTCCTTGACGCCCGTTTGCGTTGGCACCCGCGCCATCGCCGTAGTTGCCGGCTGTTGTGCAACTGGAGTGGCAGCATTGTTCGAAGCGCCGGGGGTCTGCTCCGGCTTAACAGCCTGTTGAGTTGCTCGTGGGGCAGCCGGCGCGGGCTTCGACGCGCGTTTGGCAGCGTTTTGGTCGACCTTAGCTTCGCCAGTCTTCTGGTCAATATCCAAGTAATCCGCCATGGAGTCGAGAGCAAATTGCATCGGGTTCTCGACCTTGACATGTATCTGACTGTGCGCCTCTAGTTCACCCTGGGTATCAAAGCCCCTTACAGAGAATTCACAACTCGCATCGTTACATCGGAAAGTCGGTCGTTGTGGCATTTGCTTCTCAGGGGGCGGTTGTCTTCTGAGTTCAGGCGAGTTACCTGTACCTGAACCGATTCGAGGAGACGCTCTCGCACCAGGAGTAGATGATTGGCTACCCTCAAGCTTTGCGCGCTTCTTCTCCGGCAACACCAGATTCGTGACTGGTCTCGCTCCCTCGAAGTAGTGTGCCGCTCCGTGGCCTGAGTCAGCTCCGATGGCGAATGGTGGTCGGTCGGTGGTAGGGGCAGAAGGCGGCTTCTGGCTGCGGTTTTGTTGTTCTACGATTTTCAGATTTGCGGCATTAAGTTGAGCGGGCGGGGCATTCGAACCACCCTGGAGCTGCGGCTGCGGCTGCTGACCAGCTGTTTGCTGCTTGACCTTTTCCATAATCTTGTTGACGAACTTGAGTGTTGCGCCCATATGGTTCTTGAACTCTTCAATAGTGAGCGTGACTTGAGGGCGAAGAGTGCCATCTGACAGGTCGATCTGCTGGTACAGCAGCACGCGAGATGTCATGATTTGGCGGATAACTTGCTCGGGCTCAGAGGAATCGTACGAAGCGTGGAAAATGCGTAGAGCCTGATCCACCTGTTTTAGTCGGCTGAGTTGTTCTTTAAACGATCGCTGTAGTGGTATTCGCATCTGCTGCGGCAGCTGTACTGGCGGTCTGGCGGGGATACTCTTTTCTACTTCGTCCATCAGCTGCTTGAATTGCCGGGTCCTCGCTGGGTCTGCCATCCTTTGTCGGAGTTCTTCATGGTTGACGACACCACCCCGTTGTTGCTGCATCTTGTTGTTGGAGGCATCTTGAGCCTTCAGTAACTGTGCCTTGTACTGAGCATGCTGGGCCGGGGTAAGTTTCGACATTTGCTCATGAGTAAGATTGAGCCCGGGTTGAGACTTCGTCGAAGCCATCGCGGTGGCCTGTGGCGCGGCATCTGCACCTGACTCGGCAGTGTCCTCGTTGGGTCGCTTTGTGCCCTTGTTCACATTGTTGTTGTTGTTGTTGTTGGATAGCTGTGGTTGCATGGGCTGCGATTGTGGTGGAGGAGGTCTGGCCGCTGGTTTGGGCTGAGGGGTTGGTTGTGCTGGAGGTTGTACAGTCGGTGGACGGTTGTTTTGCTGCTGCTGAACTGCGATGTTCGCAGGCGGTTGCGCCTGACCGCGTTGGGCTTGTTGCTGCTGCATCAAATGTTGCTGCGCCTGTTGCTGCCGCTGATGCTGAAGATTCTTCATCTTTATGGACATCATCAGACCTCGTAGTTGCTCGTCTGGCATGTTGGCTTGTGGCTGGCCTGCCATTCTTGCCCGGAATTGTGCCAATTCTTGAGGGGTGACCTGGAGCATGTTTTGCATGTTCGGTTGTTGTGGGGGATTCCTCAGAAGACCTTGATTAGGATTTCCTTGCGCCGGCGGGGCAATGCCATGGCCAGGCTGTGGTGTGCCATTAGGACCCGGTCCATTTTGGTTAGAGTTCCGTACCATATCTTGGAAGTGAAGAACCTGTAGCATGAGCAGCTTCTGGCTGTCGACACCCGGAACGAGAGCGGGGTTTTGGCCAGCCCACAGCTTCAGTTGCTGCCATGTTCTAACATCCGGAGGAAGACTGTTACGGATGGAATTGTTCAAAACGTTCGGAGGAAATGGCTTGGGGTCAGTAGCATGTATGATGCCAGGATTGGCTCGTAGCAAGTTGGAGGCCGCCTGTAAGCGTTGCTGCTGAGACTGCATTGGCGCACGCTGTGCTCCCATAGGAGGCTGTGGTCCAGCCCCAGGTTGTGGCTGCGTAAGGTTCAAGCCACGATTTATGCCTTGCTGCATGTTGGGGTTCATCATGGGACCGCCCATATTAGGCGGCATCTGCTGTTGCGGTTGTTGATTGAAAGGCAAGTTTTGCTGCCCAGCATTGGGTTGACCCGGGGGGAAGGCCCCATTTTGAATTCCGCCATTGCGACGAAGATTCATCATGTAGCTCTGTAGTATTACGCGGAACTGAGGCTCCGGAACCTTGAGCAGTTGCTGCTTGACGTTCGGGTCTAGGTCGGCCGGCATCATGTTCATGCGAACCTGATCAGTCAGCGGTTGCTGGTTGGCCTGCTGCACGGCGGCAGCTCTTTGTTGCGCTTGTCGCATAAGCTCGGACAGGTTGGGGTCAGTCTGTCCGGGTTGAGGCGTCATGATGGGAACGTGAGCTTGAGGGGGCCGTTGCTGTTGCGGTGTACCAGGAGGTCCTGCCTGTCCCGGTGGAGCCATCGGCCGGTTGAGCATAGGCATGGCGGGGCTGGCCTGAGAACCCTGGGGCATGTTCAGACCGCCCATTTGGCCTTGGAGCATCTGGTTCTGCTGGTTGCGTGCTTGCGCCGCCTGTTGCTGCCGTTGTTGCTCCAACCGCGCCTGAGCCTGAGCCTGAACTTGAGCCTGGGCCTGAGCTTGTGCTTGCGCTTGTTGCGCCTGCTGTGCCTGTTGCTGGCGGTGAAATGCCTCAGCAGCCTGGCGCTGTGCCATGGCATTTTGTGATGCATTTTGTTGTGCGTTTTGGCCCTGGAAGCCGCCCATCTGACCGCCGTTATTCTGGTTGTTGCTTGCAGGCACTACTGTGTTGCCCTGGTCCTGACTGCGCATAGCTTCCATTTGCCGATTTGCTATCTCAGTGAAGTCAAACTCTTGGTTAGGCTGACGTGGATTCATGCCCATCTGCTGGGCCTGCATCCGGTTCGGCTGAGCAGCTCCCTGCATGGCGCCGGCATTTTGCGCAGCTCCCTGCTGGTTGAGGGCGCCCCTTCTGTAAAGCATGTCGGCGTGTTGTCGGAAACGGAGGAAGAGAGGGTTGATACCCTGAGCGAGCAGCTGCTGCTTCTTATCCTCGGGCCATGCGCGAATATCAGCTTCGAATTTGAGCCGAACCTCCTCTTTACAAGTATCCATGAGCTTTTTAGCGAACTGGTTGATGATCAGTTGGTCCTGACGATTCTGTGTGGGCTGGTTGGGTTGCATGTTCGGTTGCTGGTTGTTTTGTCCCTGTTGGGGCATGTTGGCGGGGTTGGCCCCATTAACACCCATAGAAGACTGCCCTTGTGACATGGGCACTGGTGAAACTTGCATGGGCCGTTGAAGTTGGGCATTCGGAAAGGCCGGGTTGAACTGGGGGCCTCCGGGCCTGGCGCCTTGCTGACTCATCTGATTCATCATGTTCATCTGGTTCATCTGGGCGGGATTCATGCCGTTCATCGGGTTGTTCATGTTGTTGGGAACGCCGCCTTGCATGCGTTGTTGTAATTGTTGCTGGCGCGCAGTCGTCATGACGATGAGCTTTTGCTTGATGTTGGAGACGTATTGGTCCTTTGTCGAAGAAGACATGAAGGTCTGCGTCTCGAACTGGAGGGCGGCGCGCATAGACTCGACCTCGGCGATTTCAGGCTTGAGCAGGCGGTACTGAGTGAAGAACTGGAGGGCCAGCTGACCGCGCTCTTCCGGCTGCGTACCCTGCTGCCAGCCATTTGGGATCTTGCCTTGTTGCTGCTGCACGCGATAGTGCTGGATAAAGTGGTGGAGTCCCGCGGTGGCCCGGTTCTGTTGCATGCCGTTCTGTTGCATGTTGGGGTTGTTCATGGTGGTGGAGCGCGAACGGCCACGGGCGCGCTATGTCGCAGGCTGGCGGAGGTGCGCAAGATACAGGCAGCGGTGCAGTGCCGCGGATGTGCAGTGAACAGCAGCACTCATGCAGGCCGAGAGTTTCAGGTGCGCGGCGGGCGGTGGGACGACTCCGGCGTCGAGGCGTCGTGTCTGGTGCCGAGTAGACGACTTGGTGAGACCTGGGATGGGGGCGGTGACGGTAACGGCAACGGCGAGGGCAGCGGTGACGTGGGAGAAGATGGAAGCGGCCACGGAGGAAAACGTGTCGGGTGTCGTGGAAGAGAGCTGGGCCTGCGGCTCTATGGGCAAGATGCGAGGGAAGGCAGGGCCACAGCTGCTCACTTGGAGTGAGGCTTAGGTGCTTAGGTGAGTGAAAGGCGGAGGCTCGAGAGGACGACGCCAGCTGCGGCTCGAGACTGATCGACACTTGCGGACAGGGCGCAAGGTTAGCGCAGCACCCGTGGACCCAAACGACGGCGCCTAAATGATGCAGATGCAGGGCTCAGGACGACGTGTCCATGGGAACAGGATACAGCTATCGCAGTGAAGATGTCGTCGCAACAGGAAATACTAAGATGCAAAGGCAGACGTGTTTGGTGGGTGGGTGAGCGAGGAAGATTGCGAAAGGCGACAGAATGGGCGTGCGTCGCAGCCCAGGTGCAGCAATCGCGCCCGTCGCACCTACCTCGTCCAAACTGCAGGGATTATCCGCTAGCCTGCAATTGGTAGGCCCTCTAACGCTCCTGCCCCGGTCCGCCTGGGTCATGCCCCCAGTGCAAAGGAACAGCTGTCGAGGCATGCGCACGACGACTTGCTGTGCTGACGACGTGCTGCATATCTGATTCATGTATATCAAGTTGCTACCACGGCCGGCGACGGATCCAGCGGGTGCCTGTTGCGCCCCCCATCTCTGTCGACGACTAGGTCTCACAGGTTCGTCGAATGAACGGCACTAGCGCTTGGCTGGGACCCGCCAAATCTTCCGCACTTCTGGTGGCAGGACGAACCATGTGCTCTGCTCGTCTTCCCTCCTCCCCGCTCGGCCGGTCTAAGCGTCGCTTTCATCTTGCAGTCGTTCGTCGTCTTGCTCTGTGTTGTGTTTGAGCACTGTGGCAGCTCTACAATGCAGCGCCTGGTGTGCGTATCGACGACTGCTCGGTTTCATCCCAAACGTCAGGAAGCCCTGTGGCTTAGATGGCGCCATGCCATCTGCCTGATGCCCTGCGAGGGTTCCGCTGCTTTTTCCACTACCATCGCTCACTAGCCGCTTTAGCTGTCATCTGCGCCAGGCGGTGATCAGGGCAATAACGCCTTCAATTCAAATCATCTCGTCCATTTTCCCTATCAAGGACACATGGCAGCCCCATGGGTGCAAGCTGCCAATCGCACAATTCCTCATTCCCCATGTATATGAATATCAAGATGAGTATAGAAGCCTCCATATACCATCGCCACTGAGAGCTGTCAAAGTTGTCGTCCTCGTACTCGTCCTCCAGGTCGCTGGTGATCGGCCACCCGTTGCCCTAAAAGATGGTGAAGGACTAGTTATCCACATCTCGCACTAAAGCGCCGGACGCTATGGCACAGGACTATGGGCCTCCACCCCGTTCCGAACCAACAACGCCGCTGTCAAAGCAGTCACCTTGCCCTCCCTCATACGCCCTCCATCCCTGACACTGCTTTTTCTTGACATCTCCGCATCTAGAGCTGCCTGTCCATCACCTACCCATACAAGAGGCCACCTCCTCTCACACAAGTCTCGCTTGCTCCGCCACTGCCCCTTCCGTCTCTGGTTCGCGTCGATCCTTGGCGGAAAGCCCCCCTGCAGTCCCATGTCAGTCCCATGGATTGGGCATGATCGCCAGGGAACAATGAAGCTGGACGCCAGCCAATAGCATCCAGCGTTTGACACGTTTCTGCTCCCCCCACCGCTGCTTTGTCTTGCAGTTCAACTTCGGCCTTTCTTGCGTCCATTTCTTGCGTTCGTGATGAAGAAACAATCTAGCATACAACGTGTCGCGTCGCGCCTCGTGATCCACAGCGTTCCGTCATTGGCCTGATGCGTCACAACGGCCTATCAACAGTTTCGTGCACGCTTAGTGAGACGACTTGTAACCACCATCATCGATGCATCGGAATTGCATCGAACTTAAACACGGCCAGGTGTCTTTCTTTACTGCTTCGGGGCATTCTACACAGTCTTTGCGACTGGCGGAATTCCGTGAAGCACATGAACAGAATGGTATCTTCGGGCTATGTGGATGCTCGCAACCACACTCCAAGAGCGGAGCAACTCTCACGATGAGTCCGTGCGCTTACCCTCAGCTCACGTCCATCGATCGCGAACGACCGTCTATGTTTATTTTTTTGTTATCATCCCTGCGCAACAGTTGCTCTGAGAAGACAGCGCACCCACACCCCTTCAAGGGGAAAACCGGACAAAGGCCCTGAAGTCTACTTTGCCTTGAGATCTTGAGGCTGTAGCTTGTTAAGGCAATGCAGACTTCTTAGCTTTCTCTTTGGTAATTGTACTGCGAAGATACGTGTTCAGCTTTTCCCTTGAATGGGGTGCACCCAATTCGATATCGGGATGATCTTCATCGTCACGTACTTGACCCAAATCAACAGCCTTGTCATCACTCTGCACGTCTCCTCGATGCCTCAGGAATACATGAGAACGCTCGATGGCCCCCTTTCTATATGCCCCTGAGACTGCGCATTCACTCTAGATGATTGTTCAAGACCGCCTTACCTGCCACGATGTGAAGGCTTCACGTGGAAGGAGCGAAATGATGCCGCCGCGGATCCGACGAACAACGCCTTTCGATGGGTTGTAAACCTTAGGCATATAACGAAGTTCAAGCCCGCCCGATAACCTTCTGCAAGTTTATCAGACTCGTGTTAGGCATGGGTAAATGCGGATCACATCGTATTCTGGAAAAGCCTAAACTTTACGGCCATTTTCTGACGTGCAGGACACCCAAGTCCAATGAAGCGGCCTGCGTAAGTATCACATGTTCGAGCAATCATGTCGACGACTGTGAGCGCGTGGAGCCGTCATTTCACAAACAAGTAGCAGTGCTTAAGAGCGACGGGACTGGGTATTTGTATGGATAGCCGTAGTCACAAAGCACATTACACGTGAGGACGCATACGTGGGGTCGTTTGACGGAGTCTGATTTGGCTTGCTGTCGAGAGATCCCCCCACCTATGATACATCTGATCCCCAGCTATGCCCATTCTATGCTTTCGTGACCTGTCGATACAAAGGAGATGTCGATTCGCGAAGGGCAGTCGCTTATTTCTGGCCGAGAGACGATGCGCGCTCGTCTTCGAGCTTCTGGTAGAAGGCGTCGCGGTGACGGACGGCAGGGACGTGGTAGCCTTGGATAGTAAGTATGGGTGCAATAAAGACTTCCGAAGATAGAAAGCGCAGTCGCATCGCCTGTGACTGATTCACGTACCGTACCACCAGCCGTAGCCGGCAGTGAGGCCAAGACCTGTGACTGCTGTTAGCCAATGTCCAAAGCTGACGCGCGCATTGCTACAGAGCTCTTTGAGCCCCGAAAATAGCAGACATGCACTGCCCGATTCCTACGCACCCATAGCGACAGAGAGGTCGAGCACGACCTGTCGTCGGAGCATCTGCAGTCCAGTCATTAGCGTCCAGCGCACTACGGCCCACGGCACTCAATGGCAGCACCTACGCCGGTAATCGGTTTGACAGCCATTGCGAAGTTGGGTTCGGGAGAGCGGAGAGTTTTGGGGCGCGGGTGCGGTTTGCGGGAGCTGGTGGATGTCGTCGGCGGCTCTGTGAAGGTGTGGTGGTTCGACGGGAGAACGCAGTGTTGCTGACGTAAGGCAGGCGTCCTAGCGTCCCGCGCCTTGGAAGCTCCCGACCCAACTGAAGAACAACGGCAACAGGCAGGTGAAAGGAACAATACCATCGAATAAGAAACAATACGCGCCTGCACGTCCGCTCCCATCGCGAGGGCACCCTTTCGCAACCGATGCGCCCTCTCACTTCCGTCTGCGCCCTTACCCACCGATAGAGACGTCCCCGGAACCACCATCGCGTGCGCAACCTCCTCCCACGGCGTACCCTCCCACCGGACCCGCGACAACGAGCAGCATATGCCAGGCATCATACTATCCCCCAGCGCCAGCAGCGAGGGCGCAATCGCAGGCATGAAGCGGGCACATGATGCGGAACATGCGCCGACGTACGGAGAGCCGCACCCCAAGAAGCGACAAGTTGTACGGGCGCTGCACCACACGCAGCCGGTCCAGCACATTGCCGACCCCATCAGCGCGGAGCACGATGTCTTTGGAGAGAGCAAAGACTTTTTCGACCAGCAGCTGCGGCGCGCAATAGCCATCCAATGTAAAGGCATCGGTTTCGAGAGCGCGCGTCCGGACGCGTTGGAGGAGTTCCGGGCGCTGGTTGATTCCTGTATGGCTTCACCTTGCGACAGAGACTGGCCGCGAGTGCCCACTGCAGTTTTCCAGACTGACCCGTCACAGACATGACCAACTTTTTAACACAAGTACGCACGTCTATGATCAGCTCGCGACGCACCGAAACGGTCGCACACGACTGGATCTACGCCCTCACATCCGCTGGCCTACGCGGCTCTGCGCCCCTCGAACAACATTTCGATACAGGCGAGATTCCGCCGTCTGTCTTACAGCCCTACTTTGCACCACCCGCGCCTCCAGAAGCTCCTCCGCCCGACACCGAGTCATTGCTAGGTCCTGGACTCTCCGGCAAGGCGGACAAAGAAACGCGTCCATACATACCAAAACACTTCCCTGGATTCCCGTCGAAACACACATACACAGCGACGCCCGTCTTCACCAAACGCGAAAATGACCCGCGCAAAATCAGGGAGAAGGCGACAGAAGAGGGCATTCTTGCCGAGCAGAGTCTGCGAAAACTCATGGCGGCGCAAAAGGCAGGCGTGCAGAAGCAAAAT